TATATACACACACACACACACACACACACACACACACACACACACACAATCAACAGTAACAACACAACTGAGACACAACTCCATTTGGTGTGTGGATATTTTTCGAGGCACTGTCCTACACACATAGACATACCCTTAGGTTACAAAATCACAGCATCCAAACTGCTTTTCCACATAATATAAATATGCACACATCTCTTTGTAATCATGTGTCCTTCCAAAACATGATTTTCAGGATAGCATCACACTATATGGAAATGCTGATTTTTCTTGTCCCCAGTAGAAGACCCCAAGACTGTCTTCTAAGCTGCCCTCCCTGCCACCCCACCCCAGTCCCACAAAAAGAGGCCATCGGGAGCAAGGGCATCCACAGCGACACTGCTCACAGTCAGGTCAGCTCCTGGCCTGCGTCCTCAGGCTTCTCTCACCATCTGCTGCTCTTCCCCCGCCCTCGCTGGCCCCGGCCTTTCAGGGACAGGTCTCTAGGGCTTCCACGCTCTCCTCCCTTCCTGCCCTGCTGGTCCTGATTTGCTGACATACAGCTTGAGCTTTAAAAGGATCACAAGATGGCCAGTGCCTCTGAGTGTCCTTATAACACTCCAACTACAGTCGCAGGCCTATCCACAAACCTTTCTGGACAATGTGCCGGTCTCCGTGCATAGGACCATCACAGCCTGTGAGGCAAGATGATTCCCATTTCACAGAAGGGAGACTGCAGCTCACACAAGTGCAACGGGTGGTCAAGGCACACACCTGCAGGCGTTGGAGTGGAATTCAAGCCATGTCTGCCTGGGGCCCACTCCAGGCTTATTAACCATAGCACTCCATGTCATAACCATAACTGTCCGGGTGCAGCATATTGGAGAGACACGTGCCACTGCCTGACTGTAGATACTCAGCCACCCTCTTCCTAAGAGAAGGAATGAGAACACTTCCCTTCCATTAACCTCTCATCACCGTGCGCTCCAGGCAGATCATGTCCCTGCCCTTCTAACCTATCATGTCTCTTCCCACCTCAAGGCACGGTTCCTCCCCGATCGGAAACGTGCCTTTTCTCTTTGTGCTCCTCACGAACTCCTAATAGGCTTCAGGTGTGGGGTGAAGGTCGCACCCCACCCAGGCAGGGCAGCTCCCCTCACACTACATATACTCATGCATCTGGTCACTGGCCCTCCTAGCATCTACCAGGGGTTGTATTTGGATAACTTTGCAACTACTTGGTCAACGTGTGTTTCCCCCACTACCCCGCATGCTCCACAAGGACAGGGATCACATGTATCTCTGCTGTGCTTATCCTGGCCCTTCACCCAACATAGTACCCCACACTCAGTAAATACTTGTGGAGTATAAGCCAACTGGCTGAGGCCACTCGGGGGCTGCTCCTCAAGCCCACCTCCTTTCTGAAGGGTCGGGGCTGATTGCTCTGAACTCATGGCGGTGGGGGTGGCAGAGCCTTTAACTAGGTCTTGTTATAATAGTTACATGCTGACGGTGAAAAAAAAAATCAAACCACAGAGGTTGTAAAATCAAATAGTCTTTTCCCACATATACAGACCCTAAATCTCACCCCCATAGTTAACTGTTACTCATGTTTTCTCCCCCAAATTGCTTTCATATGTCAATGTACATATTTTCAACCTTCAAAAATAGAGATGAAACTACCCAGTTCTGCTTTTGCAAAACAACACACATCCGTTAGAAGTGACACAGCTACTCTGCAGGCCCACCAAGCTGATCTTGAGATCAAAACAGCTTGCTGCTCTCCTTCCTCACAGCAGCGCTTCTCAGACTTGCCTGTACTTTCTGCTTCCCCTTTCAATCATCTCTCCTCCAGGCTAAGCAGCATGAGCTTATTACTTTAAGCATCCTCATAAGGCCCGGGCTCAAGCTTATATATCCGGCCGCGTGACCTCCAGAATAAATTCAGCGCAGCTGGGGGGCCAAGGAGGCCGCCTGCCAACTCCACGGGCACAGGCTGTGGTTTCTGGTTCCATCGGACACTCACAAGAACTCCACCCCAACTTGGACACAAACAGTGTCAAGCTCAAACTGGGAGAGCCTGCAGAAATGGTCCATAGTTAAGGCATACTCTCCAAGTCTTTTCTGTGTTATTATAGGAAATGCACACGACTAAGAAATTTTTTAGTTGCATTCTCTTTGACCTTCAGATCTGAAACGAATGCAAATTCTTCCTTTCCCGCTAGTGCCACCTTACCTCTTCCTCCCCACAGTCGCATTCTTCCCCATCTTCCAGGTACCCGTTTCCACATCTCCGGCCTCCATACAGCCTCCTGGTGTCTGGAATGTTGGAGAGACACATCCCACCACCTGACTGCAAATACCTGTCCAGCTCCCTCCTGTTGCATCCATTGAACACTTTGGGAAAAGGGTCCCTAGAAGAGAATAAGGTTGGAGTTGACTGGGGGTCTGAGCATCGAGCAGCCAGAACAGCTCTCGATCCTGCTGCCCACTGGGCTGATGGCACCTGGATGGACTCAGACCCCCAATTCTCCCATGCACACACATTCTGCCCCCTTAGAACATCACCGATATATTAACTTACATGTCTTTTTAAGAATTAAGAAATATTAACTACCCCATCATGTTTTCCCCCTCCTTCCGCACAGAGGAAGTATCTGAGAATCAGAAGCAGTAATTTCTTTCCCCTTATGAAGGGGCTGCAATAAATAAAGGGTTATGAGTGTTACAACCCGTCTCTAGAGCCTTAGAACTGAATAAAATACCAGCCAAACCAAACTTTTCCTGAAGCTGACATTAGATAGAGATTTTCTATGGACAGAGGACAGGCCCAAAAGGGCCACGATCATGGGTTTAATTTTGTTGCTGGGCCAGTGATCTGATCTCCGTACTAGGGATACAGACAGTGCTCCAAATTCAACCAGCCAACTTGCAAATGCATAGTCTTTATCACAAGGGTATGAAAGGTCCTGGCTCCTGATGCTGGGAGAAACAATTAAAAGTCATACATTCCCCAGGAGCAGGTCAGTACTACCATTTGGGTCTATAAAAGAAGAGTTATCCTGATCCCAACTAAAGGTTAAACCAACTAAACCAACTAAAGGTTAAAGACTAGAGGGTTTCTTTCAGTTACCAGCTATATCACAAGGAACCTGCTACTAGCTGTTAAACTACTAAAATTCATTAGTAGTTTAAAAACAAACTGGAGTAGTAATTAACATAACTCTCAGCTGTTTGTCTACCAACATGCTTTTCAGACTGGGAAAGAACGCCATGGACTTAGCCAGGAGCTCCTGGGATGTGAGCAGGGCCCATGGAGTTGTGTCCTGCACGCTGACGTTATCCTGTGTGTGGCAGCTGAGAAGGGACTGGCCACTGAGGCTCCAAAGAAGCTGCGTTTTCTCCTGGAGACACTGACACACCGTTTCTTTAAGAAGATAAGCAGGTCCTAACGGTTTGGGGTGGGAGGAACACACGCTCCCACCACGGTGCCTTCCAAGGAGTAACTCAGGTCCTGGGGGAGCCCAATGTTCTCTGCTGAGTGAGTCCAGACGCCAAACATCGGTCCTTTGAATAAACGCCAGGGAGCTTCAGCTGCCTTGTCCTTCCCCTCATGGTAAGCACAGCCTATAAATTCCCTGAGGGCTCATTGTGGGGAGCACAGGTGCCCCTCTTTCTTTCCCTTGTTCAGGAGGCTACACCAACCCTTTCAATCAAGCCTGGGAAGCAAGAGCACTCATCAAACCCCCTCAGCAGAGAGGAACTAAGAATTGTGACTGTTATCAAAGCTAGGTCCTCATCAAAAATTCATGCAGAGAAAAAGACACATGTAGTCAGGCTAATTTTGCAGCTGAAGACCTCAGACTTAAAATTAAGCCTATCTAGGGATCCACCGGCACCAAACCTCCTGCTAGAAGCCCGGAGCCCCCTGCATGCCTTTGCTTGCCCTGCCCTCTTCCCATTCCTCTGTCCTCAAAAGCACAGTTCTGTCCAAGGTCTAACAGAGGCTCCCCGCGGCCAGCTGAGGCGAGCAGCCGGTGGCACTGGCCTTACGTGCCCTGCCCTCTGCCCCGCCCTCCCCTTCCTGCCTGACTCACCCGGTGGCGGCTGCCATGATGCACCCACCATCGGCCTCGCTGACGTGGCAACAACCTTTGGAATCGTGGCTCATACCGAAGTTGTGGCCCATCTCGTGGGCCACGGTGGCAGCCACGCCAATGCAGTTCTCAGAGTGGTCCTGCACAGGGAGAGAGTTCAGGTCAAGAGGAGAGCTGCCCTCAACCCCAACCCCGCCTTTTCTCTGGCCGCGCCTCGCAGCTGGATAAAAAACCCATGCTTCCAACTACGGGCTGTGTCTGCCGATAGCATGGGCTGGATAGAGGATGGGCAGAGATGATAGCAGGCTCCTTGATGTCCACTTCCCAGGTCAGAAATGGAGACAATGTCATTTAATAAGCAGTCACAAAGTCGGAAGGAGGCAGTGATGTCCTAACCATGGCTTTGGAACAGGCTCTTGTTCCATAATGTTATACAGGACATAAAACCCAGAATTAAAAAAATTCATGTTATCTTACTATGATCCTGGTTTGGAATATCTGAGACCTAGTGACGTATCAATGTGATTACTTCCAGGTTTTCCTGAGCTTGAAAATTGGGGATGAACTACAATCCATGAAAATCCACCCCCGGGTACCTACATCTCTTATCGCTGACTTCGTTTTACACAACTGCTCTTTGTGATGTCAAAGCTTTTCTTTTTTCGGCAATAATAAATATAAAATTGTTTCTGACAGGATCACCTCCCGTCTTGTGAGGAGCTTTCCTGCCTTCTGCAACATCCATACATCAGCTGAGACTCACCATGTTGACTCCTCCAGACTGGTACACGGAGCACATGGCCATGAGGGGGGCCAGGCCGATGGTGACGCCCTGGAAAGGGACGCCCCTGCAGAAGGGAAGGAGAGAGGGTGACCAGGGAGGGGAATGAGAGGGCTGTTTCTTGATGTGCCCAAGCAGGTGGCAGTCATGGTGTCCTAGGCCCCTCGGACACTCCCAGACCATTCCCAAGGGGAGAGGACCTGGCATTAAAGGCCAGCTGGACAGATTCCAGGTGGCTGCGCCTCTCACTTCCTCTCACCTGCTCTCTCACTGCTCTAGAAAAACAGAAAGAGAGAGTGAAAGGTTGCTTTGTCCCACGATATGCCCATAGCCTCATTCCCTGGAAGGAAATGGGGCAGGGCTTGCAAAGCTGCATCCCATTCCTGCTGCACAGGAAAAGGTCAGAGGGAGGGGTGAGGCAAGAATGGCACAGAGTCTGACGCTGAAGTGACTCATGTCTACTTCCGCCAGCTGCGGGGGTCCCATGCCACAGCCCTGGCTCGGGGGTACGTGCATGTGTAGGGCAGGTAGGGGGAATTCGGGGCAGCAGCTGTCAGGGGCTGATGCTTCATTCCTACATCACTCAGGGCCAAGGAAACAGATGTGCCTCCTCAGAAGCCCCACAAACTGCAGCTGGGTGCAAGGATGGCCTGTTGTTTCCGCCCTTGTTTTGCAATTGTGACCCTAATCTGCCAGCAGCCACGCTCCATTCCCCCAGTTTAATTCATCTCTCTTTCAGCTGCACACATCCAGGGCAGGGGCCATGGAATAACTAAAACCCGCTGTTTTTGTGCATGCTGCAAACACTTCATTTGTTTAAAGGATCTATACAGAAATTCAGCGTGTGGTGCCTCTCTATCTCCGTGCTATCTTCTTATCTAGACACTGCGATCTTTGAGAGCTGAGGCTATCTGGTTTATTTTGGGGTCATTAGAACTTAGCATCGAATCTGAAACACAGTGGGTGCTTAATAAATGTTTGATGAGGTCCAGGCAGACTCTTCTTCAGAGAAACAATACTCAAAGGAGTCACGCAAAAGATATGCAGATATACATGAGGTCCTACTGGTTCTCTTACAGACTTAGACAGGAAGTTCAACTGGAAACCTAGATTCAAGGTCCTGCCCAAAGCAGGACACCAGGTTCCCAAAGTTCAGGCCAAAAGTCTTGGTAACCAGACTCTTCCTGGGTGAACGTACTCATTGCCCAGATTTTTGGTACAGCTATTTCCTGGGTCTTTTTATTAATTTTAAAGTAAAATTTAAAAATTCTTAAATAAGCTTTTTGTTTAAAAACTGCTAAATAACTTCTAATAACGTCTAAAAAACTCACAGTTTAAAGAGAAAACCAAAACTGAAGTGATAAACCACTTAGCAAGGACATTGAAGTTTTATATTTAAAAACCAATGGGATATGCCAGGCCTTTTAAAAAGAGTAAACAAAATAAACTGATGAACAACATACATATAGAGACACGGAAACATGGAATAGTCTGACAAAACTCAGAGGAAAGGCAGGGGTGGGG